AAAGTTTAGATTTTTGTTTCTGTTTATTAATACCTTTTTACAAAGTAAAAGTACATATTTTTTAACAGAAAGGTTAAATTTAGGTTGTGTTTGTTGCTCATTACTGCAGAACTTTGCTGKTTTGTGAGCTAAAGCGCAGAAAGTTCTCAACTTTCAGATGTTTTTTCCTCTCGGCTCGCAGTCATTTGCATGAAAACATCAGGTTCATCCGAGGGAAAGCTGGAGATTATGAAACTGGTGGGAGAAAATCTACAAACTTTCTGACAATGATGATGATCTAACAGCTGAACTTTGAGCTTTTCTCTGCTGGGTTTTGCTGCTCAAACCTGTATAGAAATAACGTCAGGTTTTTAGGTCACAGTGGTCTGAACATGACGGAGCTGTAACAGCTGACATGGGTCTCTCAGAGTAAACCTCAGGTGGTTTTTGATCCTCTCACCTGTGTGTTTAAATCCCCGTCAGGTGATTGATCTCCCTGCAGCTGCYCCCCGTCCTCCGGTGGATGTGACCTGAGCAGCTAATGGACGAGCRGGCCCATTTCTATGACAACGGGCCGGCGCTGCTCTGAAGAGCCCGGTGGCTAAAAATAGGACAAAGTAAACAAGACCGGATAGAGGCGACGGGGACGGTCTGTTTTTATGTTTCTGCCTCCTGTTCAGTCAGAATTCAACTCATTTTCAACAACGTTTCTCGTCCGACACAGTTAAATCTGCACCATCAGAACAATCCAACCTAAAGTTTAAACTTATTGGGATTTTTTTTACTATTATCTCTGATTTATCACCCTCAGAAGAAAGGAAAGGCAGGTGATAACGTTTTTGCCTATCTTTGTATCTGTTGACCCTGTTTGTCTATTAGCAAAATATTTAGGGTAGACGTCAACTGATTTACTTTTGGAGTCACTTCAAGCCAAAATGGCCGCCATAAGGGTTGGGCGATAAATCGATTTAATCGATTAATTTGAATTTGCCATTTATAAAGATTTCGTTTTGGGAAAATCCATATTTTTTCCCCATCAATGCTCTTTTTGCGGTTTCTGTAGTTCAGAGGTCACCCCAGCTGCTCAAGACGTTTGGTACATGACATGACAATATAGCAGCTAGCAAAGAGGATCTACTTCCCAAAAAAAAAAGGCACTGTTCCTTCAGTTTTCTGGAACTGGTTTCACAACCTCAGACTTGGAGCAATGAACACCTCACTGCAAAATCTGTTTGAAGGCTCTCGCTACAAAAAGCAGAACAACTAATTTGTTTCGACACCTGAAACAGAGGCACTCCGTTAAGTGGGAAACAAATKGATTAAAATCAAAAATCAAATTTGGGATGGGGTGGGGGGGCATATCTCTCAGCCCTACCCACCACTAAATCCACCTAAAGATCACCAGAACTCCATTGGTTTTACAGATAATGAGCTAAAATGTGGTGTTAGGATTCATGCAGGGTCTTTAAAAAGTCTTAAAAGGGGCAATATCATGTAAAATCAACTTTTTTGAGTTTTATATCATGTTATAATGTTATACTCTCATAAAAACATGCCCAAAGCCTTGCTTTGACTCATTCATGCATGTTTGAGAAATCCTGCAGTGTTTTTAGGAAGCCATGCTGAGGAGCAAAACGACAGGTGGGGACTAGAAACACCTCTGGGTTGTGTCCTTTTGGGACAAGCTCCTCCTCTGGGGCGTGTCTTTGAGCCAAACTTCCTCATGGCAGAGCTCCTCCCCACCCCACCGCTCTGCGACTCCGGCTGTGTCCAAAACGACAGGCCGGGTCCTCCGGAGGACCC